TCGGTCAGCCAATCTGGGTTGCCCTGTGCACTGCTGCTATTCTTTCTCTGGGTAGATTGGGAGACTATGCTCAGATGTGAACACAGGGCCCCCTGGCTGCACTGGGTTAGCCCTGAAGGATTGCTGCTCTTCAGGGGCTCAGCATTCAAATGTCTGTTCAGATATCTCTAGCTAAGTTTTTCTATCAGAACAAACCTACGGCAATTCTCCCAGATCATTTGTGTGCGTGTCCACAGCTTTTATTCCAGCCGTGCAGTTAGTCCAATAAAAAAAAATTACCATAAAAAAATCCTTTCCCCATGCACATATGTATTACAACAAATCCTTTCATTACTCAGTAATACAACAGAAATACAGTGCTACAAATACTGCATCTGTTAATCTAGAGTTCCAAATAAACATGAAATTTAAGTATAGACCAAGGCCCACATCCTAGATCTCTAAATGCAGTCTCAAAGTGTTGGGACTGGACAAAACTTATTGTGCAGAGCAGTGAATAAATCCACTACTTAAATCCAATACTTTTTCTTTTGCTATACCCAATATCAACCAGTGGCTATTTCAGACTTAATGATATTGTAACCAAATCCTTTTCTTCAGCTTTAATTGTGTACATTATGCTGCACAAGGCTTATTGTTATAAGACTGGAACTATATCCACCTGGAAAAGCTGCTTGACAATTTGTATTAGAAACCAAGCTAGTAATAACTCGTCAAACAGTTGTCTCACTTGGGTTTCATCTAGTTTACTTTCTAATCAGTACTGGGTACTTAAATCCCCCAAGATCAATGTTCTGGTACATTATGGGTCTGGCATATGGCACTCTCTCTCCTCTAAGAACATCATCAAGAAAATTTAGATAGACAGTGCTGTAGGGACTGTGAAAAGCTCATGAAAAAGTTAGATTCCTGTCACCTACTTCTCCAACTGGCTTCACACCTCCTTCTTTATTACATCAAACATAAGCTGCTTGTCTTCATTTTCAAATCCCTTCAGCCTAAACTTCTTTACTGCACCTCTATCAGCTTTAAAAGATCAGTTCTCACTTCCAACCAATGTATGGTGTGACCACAGTCCACTTTTTAGACTTTCAAAATAGAACCTGTGTATGCTCTTCTACGCTGTTTCCTCTTGCTTGAGAGAAGCTCTCTGTGAACAAGCATCTGCAAAAAGATCTGGTAATAGCTACGCTGCTGATGTGCTATGCCACAGTGACCACAGTTATTTTACTGAGTCCTGATACTTTTGTCCTCCTGTATCTAGTTCTCTCTTATCCTTAGACTGTAAGGTCTTTGGGTCATGGTAGATCTTTTTGCTTACCTAATGTAAATAAACTTTGCTTATGAGTAAAAAGCCTGTGGTAGAACAGTTCACACCCTCAGGCCCCCGACACTCCATCACTGACTGCAGGATTGCTTTTCTCAGACAAGAAACACCAAAAAGTTAAAACCAATTTGAACAGATAAGAATTTGCAAGATAAGAATCATCCACAAACTGAACTGTGTTAAACATGGTTAAAACAGGGACTACGGATTCCTGTCTCTACTTGGATTAGCTTTTGTGACTCTCTTTGTTCCCACAGGTTCACTGCTTGTTTGCTTTTCTCCCCTAGCACTGCTCCCTCCCCTGCCATCTCCTTCTCCTCCCTCCTTCATCTTTTGTATTCTAATTCCTTTCTCTGTCTTGCACTCTACTTTCTGTGCGTCCTTTCACAGCATCTGATGAAGTGAACTTCAGTTCATGGAAGTCTGGCAGTATATATATCTTAGTTTATACAGATGCATACTTACCCTGTTTTCTAACTTCAGATGGCTAGCTATCTCTTGATAACTAAAAAGGTACTGTAATACAACAATAATAATCCATTAAAGAACCTTCAGACTAACCATACAAACAAAAAACACTCAATTCACTATGACTCTAAATGAGAAAGACGGGTGGAAGCAGGCTTCCTGTATCATCTCACAAAGCCTTCAAGTGAGGGAAGAACTATTTTCTGTGACTAACTTTGATCTTCACTACTGTGCCATTGAGAGCTGAGTCAAATAAACAGATCTCTTTCCCACTGCAAGCTATGCGGATTTCTAGCTACAGTGGACTGCATGAAATTTCAGACTCTTTTATATCCTGAAGTCAAACATTCTTGTTTAAAGCTTTGGACAGTTATGAATTACCCTCCAATAGGCAATAAAAGCTGTTGTAGGAGATATTACCAAATCAATAAAACTGCAGCCCTTTGATACATGCTAGTAAAATGTGCGCTTAGCAACACATTCCCTGGCACATGTCATTTGCAATAATTAAGTCAGGGAACAAGCCTAGAAGAAAAAAGACTATGGTACATTTATATTAAAGGAGCAGTGATAAAATCTAACTAATGTAAATCTGAAACTTCCACATTTTCATAACTATATAATGTTACTTTAAGGTTCCTGAGCTAAAGTCAAGCACTTAGATTGCTTCTTTTTATGATGATTAGCACTGTAGACAAGTCCAGAAACCATGATCTGGATCAGAGCCTCACTATATACTTTTCTAAACGGATGAGAAACTATGGTTCTGTGCCAAAGAATTTACCATCCAATATACTTACTGTCTAACCAAAGTTAACCATTAAGTGTAATTCAGCTATCTGCAACAAATTCAGTCTGTGCACAATTAACTTAGTTCCCACTTCCTATTTTACTTGTTACCGGTCTTCCTCTGTGGTAGCCCTGAAGCAAAATTTTGGCCTTTGAAACACTGTTTACTGGCACTTCAGAAAGTAGGATTTATATAAATTTTACTCAAAGAGCTCCTGATAAAGTATGAGGCTAACAGCTGAAACAGGGAAAGCAAAAATATAAGAACAGTGAAGAGAGTATATAAGGAGAATTGAGTGAAGTCACTGATATTTTTGTGCATACAGATGAGTGAGTAAAGTGACTGTCTAAAATCAGCAGTGTGTGATGATATTGCTCTCTGATTCCATATTAAATGTGCTTTAGGAAACAAAACAAAACAAAACAACACCCCCCCCAACCGATCAGCTTCACAATATGGCATATGAGAGTGAAGCACTGGATATTCTGCCATTAGTAAGACCTAAACAAAATATTTTATTTTAAACTATCTTCTTAGCAACATCTGTACAAACCCGTCCACCCCAGAGTAGCTGTTTGTGAAAGGCAAGCTGGCTGATGATCTCCTCCCCTACCAATGAGGGGCAAGATGCAATATTAGCCATCTACTGGGTGCGACTACCTTGCAACAGCTGCATACCTGTTCATTTCTGATCCTGGTGTAACTTTTATTGCTGTACAAAACTGGTGACTTTCACTATTCTCTCCATGCCTAGATCTGTGGTTTTCAAATGGGTGTATGTGTATCCTCAGGGGTATGCAGCACTTTGCCAAGGGGTATATGCCTAAATGTTAATAATGGTGGTGAAGCTTCTGACTGGTCAACACACACCAAGTAACGGTACTATGAGTTGATGCTGGTGTTGACATACTCTTTAAGGAATGAATATACAGAGAGTACAGGGGGTATGAGCATCAATATTTTGCAAGTATGTGGCAAAAGGTTCAAAAGCCACTACCTTAGATTATTTCAGAGTCCCTCTGGCTTCTTCTGAGGGAAGATATCCCTAACAACTCAACTGCTGTATATCAAATAATACAATCCTTCTGGATGCCTCTTACCCATGCTAGCTTTGTGGGTTAGTTAACAGGATAAGAAAAAAAAGCATAAATCTACTATTTTCATTAAAGGCGGAAGATGGACTGACAAATGCTGGCACACAACTTTCTTCCTCCTACAGCCACAAATGAACCTCCTCCTGGTGGCTAAAAAGCAGTCGAACCTTGTTGGAGGAAAGACCACTCCTACATTTCTTGCCTGGTGAGAGAGGGCTCACTATTAATGTTTTCATTGAAAACATATGGTGGGGAAAAGGTGTCATCAGATAGTTCTCCTTCCCTTTGCCGTGTAAGAGTGGGTATGTAGAAACGCTAGTTTCCATTTCATGGCAGGTCAGTTTAGGAGGGGGAAAAAGGAAAAAAACAAGCAAAAATCAACAGTAGGACAGTGGATTTAGAAAAGAGGACCCAAGACCAAGAACTCACATCTTGCTATGTGAATCTAGACCCGATTAAAGTGGCAACATTTGCTGACCCAAAACACATACAAGGGTTCTAAAAGTAACATTTCACCTTGAGTTCAAGATACAGAATTTCCTGTTTCTGAAACTGTTGTGATCTGGGTTAGAACTATTGTCAGTGACACAGAAGAAATTCATCTTCTTATCCTGTGAAAACTTGTTTGTTCTGACCAATATAAATTATGTAGGTTCTGGAAACGCTTAGATTTTAGCCTCTCTCTTACCATACAGTTAAATTTACAACACAACTCTATTCCTATCCTTTTACAGTATTCCTGACATACGGAGACAAATACGGCATATAAGCATTTTAAATCAGTTTTACACATATACATGTACGTATATGCATATGCTACACATCACACCAACACATAAAACAAAACAAAATATCATGCAAAGGCACTGAAGCAAAATAATTTAAAAATATGTCTCATGCTAGAGCACATATTTAGTATTCAGCAGAAAGACCCAGTGATCTTTGGGAAAATTAATTTGGGAATCAAAATACAAAAGCTGGAAACGTTATCGTTTTCTTTACAGCACTTAATGACATTTTTATTTCACTTGTAAAGTACAGATTTGATTATAAATAGTTAAAAAAACAGGAAATACGTAACTAATTTTAATACTGCCTTTAAATAAATGTGTTACATTTTACAAGAAGGACGTTTAACTCTGATTGACTCTGTTCTGAAAAATTACTGCCAGGGTAATGGAAGACTTTCTTCCTTCTATAGGCAGTATTAAAATGAAACAGGGCAAGCTAAGGAAGAAAATAAAAAAGTTGTGCTTAAACATGCAAAGCCACACACTATAACAGAATTAGAAGCCTTAGAGGAAAACGAAGGGGTACCTACTTTCTGCTGCTAGAAGTCCTAGTAGGAAGGCAGCATTTGGACAAACAACAAACAGTATGAAGATTTCAGAACAAGCAAGTTATAAAGCTGCAACTTGGCAAGCTAGTTTAGCTATAAATACTATAAACAAGCAATATGACCAGAATTTTTATTTAAATTTTTAAAAGATTTCTACATGTGGGCCAAATGGTGTGTGGAGGGAAAAAATAAATTGATAATGGGGAAGGTAGCAAGGTAACCCCTTTGCACACACTAGGCACCTAAAACATCACATTTTTTCTGATGCTGCCTGCATCAATTTTTAAAGGTAATGTACATAAATTACTGCTAGTTTGAACAATTCATAACCGATTCACTGAAAATGAATAAAAATGAAAGATTCCTGAGTGCTGCAAGGTAAGCTTTCATACTCTTAACTGTAATTAGTTTAATTTTTAGGAGGTGTAATACTGAATTACATTTATTTTGCAAGAGTTTTGGAGTTTAGGTTATATGGCACATTTGAAGGCATGTATTTTGCTTCTGTTTTAATTAGCAGCATTATGGCACGATGATACAATAAATATGTCTTATTTCCACATTATGGAAGAGAAGGACAAACTCAAATAATTGAAAGAGGAAAAATACAAACACTAATTATGAAAAAGTACTATTTCAAATAGTTAAATCTAATATCAGTTAAAAGGTCCTTATGAAAAGTCTTATATAATTAACTATTTACATTGCACAGTCCATCAGCAATACTCAAATTTTCAGAATTCTTGTTATTTTTATGCCACATGGGGCAGGCAGCAGGGGGGGCAGAAACTAGGGTCAGGGAGGTGTGTGGAGTGTAAACTGAGGGCAGGTAGCAGGGAGTACAGGCACCATGGGGAGGAAGGCAGTGGGGGGGCAGGGGTGAGTGGTGGTGTAGGGACAGGTGGCAAGGGGCCGGGGTCAAGCCATTGGCTCCCCACTACCTGCCCCCTTCCCACCTTCCCCCTGCTGCTGCTTGCTGCAGATTTGAGGCAAAATTTAAGATGAACCACCAAGAATTAGATTGTAGACATGGAAAATTATAACAAATTTATAAATTTCCCATGTCTAGACTCTCATTATTGGGATTGTCTTAAATTTGATTATTTGATTTGTCTTAAATTTGATTTATTTAACATTAACAAGTCGGTTATATCTTTCAAATGCTGATGGTCAAAAGCTGTCACGTTATGCCCTTAACAAGCATATATAAAACTGGTGATCACAGTTTTTTCTACTACTATAATATATATTGCATTCTGTTTGGTGCGAATGGCGACCACTAATGTTCCTTAGTCTAGAGTTTAAAATACATCTTGAAAGCTGTCTTTCATGGAAGGACTCATGTGTGAAGTTACTCACAAATATGTCTGTAGCACTGAAGCCTAAGCCTAAGCCAGACATCTCTTCTTCATAGTGAAAGGCTAGCAGTTTGTGCATTTTTTTTTTTAAACTTTTCAGTGCTGGTCATGAAGCATTCCTATCTTGAGCTATCATTACTATGCCAAAATAGACTCTGAAGGAACAAACTCTTATGTGAGATTTTCAATTAACACATAGTAACCTTGAAACAAAAATCATTTTCAAATTACATTAAAAAAGAGAAGACAATATGAACTCAGTATCTTGCAATTAAAGGACCCAAAACCACAATGATGTAGGTATTAAACATGAGCTTCACATTTAGTGAGAAAGTGCTGCTTTTAAGTGAAGACATTTAGCACACAGCTCAGAAAGCAGAGGTGATCATGAAATTTTGCAAAAAGTTGTTAGTTTGCAGCACAAACTAAATGCGTACATCCTGTCAGTCAGTCTTTCAGATAACATGCTGCGGAATACTTTGTGGTTAAACTGAAACAATTATAAAATGCATTCATATGAGTATTTAGATCCACTTGAAAGGAATGAAAACAAATGATAGAACATGAAGCTTCTAACTCTTAGTGTATATATACACTATAACCACATAACTTAAGAATGAGCCTATATTTTAAAAGTTTCCTAAATGAAAGATAGGGTTGGCTTTCCTTTAAAAAAAAAAAAAAATCAACGAGCTGATTTTGAGCGTGGGTGGCACCCACTGACTTCAGTTAGTCTCACAGTTGTTCAGCAATTCTGAAAGTCAGGCTACAAGAAGGCATTTCTAAATGAAAAGCCAAAGTATAGATTATGATTTTTGTGCTTTGCTATTTATTAGCTAAGCACAGGAGTTTACTGTTGGGCTAAAACCCTGAATACTCTGAATCTCGGCAAAAGACTCCAGTATCCATGAACAACAGTCTTTTCCAGTTCAGTCTCCAGAGCTAATAGTTCAAGCTATTTCATGACCTTTCTCTCCTTTATCTGATGCCCAAGCAGTTGATCAAGGAAGTTAAATCTGCAGAAATAAAATGCTTTATATTACAGTAATACAATGTAAGGGAAAAAAAGTCAATAGTTTTAATGTTGGTTGGAAGTAGTTTAAAAAAGCTGACCAGCTTCAGATCTTAGAGCTACCAAGTGAAGCATTAATAAAAGATGTATTCATTAAATTTGAATGCAAAATTATAAAGCATCTGTAATTGTAGTTGTTTACGGTAGTCCACTGTACTCCAAAAGAAGTCACTGAATGAAAATATCAGTGTTAAAAAGAAATCACTTTTGTATAAGAAACATTTAGCAAATTTCCCAGAAAAATCTACAAAGCCATTATCTTATTCCTTCAAATTCTTCATGACTCACTTCTTACAGAGTTATCAGAACACTACCATTTGATTTACACCTTGTTGGTTAGTTGTAAATTGACACAAGCAAGCAGGTGTCAATTTACAGCTAACCTACAAGAGGCATACTTGTGTTGCTGTTACCTAGAGCACAGACTGTTTTTACTGCATATTTATATAGCATTCAGCAACAACAGGGTGCTGTTATAATTTAAAATAATAATTTGGACCCACTTGGAATTTTTTTTCACAGAACTTGTATGTGAAAACTCTATGCGGCGTTGGTCAGGCCGCAGTTGGAGTATTGGGTCCAGTTTTGGGCGCTGCACTTCAAGAGGGATGTGGACTACCTCAAAAGGGTTCAGAGGAGGCCACTCGTATGGTTAGGGGCCTGCAGGCAAAGCCCTATGAGGAGAAACTGAGGGACCCAGATCTCTTCAGCCTCTGCAAGAGAAGGCTGAGGTGATCCTGTGGCTGCCTACAAATTCATTGGGGGGGGGGGGGGGAGAAGGAACAAGGAATAGGAGATGCTCTGTTTACCAGGGTACCCTTTGGAGTAACTAGGAACAACGGGCCACAAACTGATGGAGAGCAGATTTAGGTTGGACATTAGAAAGAACTTCATGCTCAGGGTTGCCAGAATCTGGAATGGGCTTCCAAAGGAGGTGGTGATCTCCTCTACCTTGGGGGTTTTTAAGAGAGGCTGGACAAGTACCTGGCTGGAGTTGTCTGACCCCAGCGCTCTTTCCTGCCCAGGGCAGGGGGTCAGACTTGATGATCTACTGAGGTCTCT